CGCGTAGTGATACATTCCCAGTGTTTTCCTGACCGAAGGGCGCTCGCTCGGTTGTTTATTGACTTAAACAACTCCCCCCCACGACGTGGCCCCTTCGCCACCACGACTCGGTGCTGTGGACTCACTGATGACACAAAAGGAAAAAGATCTTTTGTTTTTGATATAAGGCTGAACTTGATTTTTTTAATACCTAAGTTAATTATTAATCTTTGTAACCAGTGTGTTTTTTTAATGTCCGCTCTCACACGCCTGAGACTGACAATCATGTCGTACAATTTTTCGAAGTCGATCAAACTTTTTAATTATTATATTCCAGCTGGTGAATAATAAAATTTAATGATTTTAAAACGTTTTTTTCATTTCGTTAACATACAACACCATTGACTCATAGTCGACGTAAATCAAATAAATTAAATATTCGAAGTAGACGAGGTAAATTATTGTATGCAAACAAAATAAGATCAAATTCAATAATAACTCTCAAACAAAACTACTAGTCTACTTAGATTTTTCTAATTATACTAATTTCAAAACATCTATTCTCGTTTTAAACTACAAAGCCAGAGGCTCCCATGTGGGCCTCAATCGGCATTACCTTTTTATTGATTCTGATTCATAATGTGTGGGTAGTTATAGACTGCAAATTAAATAGGTAGTACCGCGCTCGCAGAATCACGTCCGCGCGGTCAATGTTCTATTATTCACTTGCCTTTAATGCTGAGCTATATCCTACTAATATAAATGCGAATGCTTAAATGGATGGATAGTTGGATGTTTGTTTGAAGGTATCAGATCGGCTGAATGGATCTCGATGAAATTCAGAATACATATAGAACATAGTCTGGAAGAAGTAACCTATACTTATTATGGAATTTTTTGATTCCGCGAGGGCGACAGCTAGTAATGCATATTTAATATTATAAATGCGAATGTTTTGATGAATGGATGTTTGTAGAATGGCTCAACAGATTTTCATGAATTTTGGAACATGTAGAACTAAGTCTGGAGGAACACATAGGCTAATTATTAAGTTTTGTTTTATAATGATAAAATTTTAACGATATATGAGTAACTTACCATAATATGTTTAGGTTCAAAGCAAATTCCTATTTACCGTAATTAAAATGACAGTGTTTTTAACTACAAATGTGATGCAATGGGTGAAAACTGAAATGTAGTATAAGGCATAAAGATAAAAAATTATAAGCGATTCTTAATCTTAGTTATAAGATTCAATTAATTACCAAGTGTGTCAGTAAACTCTGGTTACCCTTAATTAGGTGTGATAACTAAACCAAAGTTGCTTGGAACCATTTCACGCAAGGTAAAAGTATTAAAATTATGTTCTACATCTTTGCACTTATCGTGGAGCTAACTCTCAAAGCTTATCTCTCAGTATGTTGAATCTTTCATTTACATTGCAATGCAATACAACCAGTTTGTTGCAATATTCACGACACAGCAAAAGATAATGAAGGCTTAGCTATTTCCGGTGCTCAAGCTCAGTTACGTCCGCCATATGCTAAATTCAAGATTAGCATTTTAAATTTAAATATAGGATAAAATTAAGATTATTAATGATACTTGAATCATCTTAAGTTACAAACTTTATTATATTATGTATTTCAAATAATCGACATCACTTTTTATTTTTTAATAAGTCATACGAACTGACGACTAAAATGTTTGGCAATTCTTTTATCTAGAAAGTTAAGCACTCGTTTTGTATTCGTAAAGTAAAAAGTTGTAACGGTACTTAAGCCCTTTTTAATTTATGCTGATTAAGCCTCGTTAAGATTCCGTTTCATGCGTGGACAGTTATGTTACGCCTTCCAGTAATTGATCACGGAACGTGTGAACTTAAACAAACAGATATCTTGACTTCGACCAGTGAAATACCACGAACTCACAGAAAACAGGCGTGGATGTACTCTGCGTTTCATCTTATCAGTGAAGTGATGAATGCTCGAACCACAGACATTGTTACGACTATGGTCTGAACTGGATGCAAATGCGTTCGAACCTGTCAGAATAGGATAAATTCTTTTGGAGGGAATAATAAGTGTTTTATATTTCATTAGCTTTGGAAAATAAACTTAATGAAGAATAAAGTTCGATATAGACAAAAAACAACATAATCTAAGTGGTAACGGGACAGCCATAACCGATGATCGACAGATGTGGCAGGAACATGAAAGTAGACGGAAATCGGAAATGGTTGATCGCACAAAAAACAAAGGAATTTGTAATATCTCGCACAATATAGCGTAAAATAAATTACTTACAAAACTTGACGTGTTAATTTAAATTCCGTTTTTCACTATGGCATAGATAAAGTAGTGTTTTTTTTTATATCTTATGGTGGCAAACGAGCGAGCGGCCACCTGAAATCGCTGAAATAGCGAAATGACCGTTGCCCATAGACATACGCAATTGTATATGCGTTGTCTATCTTTAATCGACGGAGGAGAGGATGCACAGAAAGAAAATATCTTCCCTTTCCATGCATCCTCTCATCCGGAAAGTCCACTTCCACTTCCCATCCTTTCCTTATAAGAAAAAGGGTGGGAAGGGAAAGAGGACTAAATTAGTACTGCCGTACGCACACTCATCAGACGAAACGCGGAATTGCTTCCACTTCACGCCTGGTTTATTAGCATAATATTAATAAGTGTGCAGGAATCGCGAGATTTCCATGCAAGTTCCGCCATCTTGTATTTTGCCGCCTACGCAAATGTTCCTATAACTTGCTGTTTATTATAGCGGCATTAAAACTATAAAATGTGTTATAAAAGAGAGAGATGCGGTCATTGCTCTTAGTTATGCTTAGAAATAATAAGCTTAGTATAAATTGTATAAAATAATTTACATAGAAAGTGCCCCAGTTTACTTGCAATTGCATTTTAATTTTTTAAATTCAAATTTTAGTTATTTACACACCTTTCGTTTAACTAGAAGCCGTTTAATGCACACAAAAATTTTTGATTTACAATTTCCATAGACAAAACAAACAATTTCTAATTACGACGAAGAAATAAAACACATTTCACTTTTACATTTATTTCAGTATAAATAATAAAAATATATCAATATGATAATAAGTTTTGAAAGAATAAATATTTCATCGTATAGTTTATTAATTAATAAAATAAAATAAGTACAATACCAACAAATGTATAAATGAGTGCTAATTTCAGATCTAAGTTAATAAAAAGAAAAAGTATTAAGCGTGCACGTTGAATTTCTTAATGCAATTTTCGTTTTTTTACCATCAATCTAAACTGAGTAACCGAATTGGCATTCCTTGATGTGATCGGATACTATTTCTGCCGTTTCGTCGCTTATTCGTCCAGCGTTCCTTAGTATTTTCACTAAATTAGTCATCGTGTACAATGATTTTACATGGACGCCATTTGCTTTTAACACATTAGCGCCACCTTGTTCCCTTTCGAGAACTACAACAGCGTGTGCGACTTGTAAACCTTCGGCGCGAATAGTTTTCGCTGCTTCCGATATTGTGCCACCAGATGTCACTACGTCCTCGATAATTAAACATTTCTGATCTTTCTCGAACACTCCTTCTAAGATTTTTTTAGTTGCATATAATTTAGTTTCCTTTCTCATCATAATCATTGGTGTGTTTGTATTTACTGACATTACTGCTGCGAATGGTAATGCTGCATATGGAATTCCACACAGTATGTCGTGTGGTATTTCATTAGCTAAAGTTTGTAATTGTCGACATATCGCCATCTGAAATTATTAGTACATTAATTAGTGGGCAATAAAATAATAACGCATCGAACTACGACCTTTTGTGATTACGGTGAGTTTAAAATGTTTAATAAGAAATTATCATTGAACTTGTTCGTTATTGCGACATAATTTCTGAACGGTTTGTTTATACGCGCCAACCTTTCCTTATAAAGGATTCATTATCTCGAATTGGACGTTTTATTTATAATTTCCTAGAAACAGATAAAAGCTCGTTCATATTTGTTACCGTTAATAACATCAAAACAATTTACAATCGTTGCTAAAAAAAGCAATATTATTCTAGACCTAATTAATTAGCTAAAAATCCTAGCCTAGGGGTACTTCAATCGCTTTCATTACATATCTTTTAAATGTTTCTTTTTATAAAGTAACTAGCGGACCCGACAGACGTTGTCCTGTCTACACGTCTTTAATTTGAATAAATTAATATGAAGTTAATATTTGATGAAAATTGTGAATCTAAACCATTCCCAGATCCCCTTGAACACACACAAAAAATTTCGTCAAAATCGGTCCAGTCGTTTGAGAGAAGTTCAGTGACATACACACTCACAGAAGAATTATATATATAAAGATGACGCAAACATGCAAGCAGACAGCTGAATTTGCCGAAATAGCGAAGCGATAGCAACATCTACAATTGCAGACGGAGACGTAAAGAAAGATTATATTTCCATTTACTATGCGTCCCCTCCTCCATTGAATGCACGTCCCCTTCCCTTATAAGAAGGATGGGAAGGGTAAGGGGACTGAAATTAAACCAGATGTGCGCAAAAATTTCATATCATGAATAGCATACCTACACTTCCTAGAATACCTTTTAAAAAGGGTTATTTTGAAATATTTATTTAATTATAGTTTAAAGATAAAATTACATGTAATCTTACGATACATAAGTAGACAAGAAACGAACGAATAATTAAAGAAAATCATACAGTGAAGTTGCAACTGGTTTAATACTGTCAACCTAAAAAGATAACATTCTTTGCAGTGACGTAACAAACATAAAAAGAAATTGCGGGATAACGACTGAGTCAATTGTTAGAACTATAGGTACTGCTAGGAAAAAAATCCAGAAATGAGGCAGTGTATTGACTAAACACTAGCCTTACTTAAATGTCGACGTTTATGTCCCCTCACTAATCATTCTGACACTGGACTTTGTAACGAAAGCACGTCATTGGCGACAAAGAATTCTATCTAATCTTATATATAAAATTCTCGTGTCACAATTTTCGTTTCCATACTCCTACGAAACGGCTTGACCGATTCTCATGATTTTGTGAGCATATGGAGTAGGTCTGAGAATCGGCCAACATCTATTTTTAATCCCGCGCGGACGGAGTCGCGGGCGACAGCTGGTACATACCATAAGCTTGGGATGTGAGACAATAACTCTTAAGTCAAAGTATATTGGTGTGCGTCGGCCGAGCTTCGCCTCAATGTCGCCCAGTCGCACAGCGCCCGCGTCGAACAGACGCACTGCAAGCTCCTCCAGGCTCTCTCCTGTCATCTGCAAACAAATAAACATATATATATATATTAAATAGTTTATAATATTCCTGCGTACATCAGCTACCTTCCCGTCTAAACCCTGTCAAAATCGGTCCAGTATTTCCAGAGATAGCGCTCGCCCTAAACTTAGCTATCGTGGAATTAATAAAAACAAAAATAAATTAAAAAAAAAGGATCCTACGATATTTTTGTATATATTCTAGATATTGGAAAAGAGCTATACATATGTGATGTGTTTGGATAGATTTATGGATGTTTTGTCATCATCATCAGCTCACTATATGACCCCGCTGAGGGGCTCGGAACCTTTCAGTTACGAGTGACTAGGCCATAATCAATGCTGGCTCAGCGCGGGTTGACGTCACACATATCTTTGAATTTCTTCTCAGATATGTGCAACACCACGATGGTTTCCATCGCGTAAGATCGTCGGATAAATGTACATATGTAAATCGAGTCTACAAACACATTGGTACATGGCGGGATTCGAACACAGAACCTGCAGATTATAAGTGCTTAACCCCTGAGCCACATACATTAGTAATATCTTACTAATATTATTAACTTTTAATTCCTCGCGAACGGAATTGCGGGCGACAGCTAGTTAAATAAATTAGCAAATTATTTAATATATCTCGTTCAGTTTAATCCTGTGTCTTGAACTGGTTTTTGCAACAGATTAAATATTATACAACCAGTGTTTTTTTAACATAACAACACCCATAGAGATACGACCGTTTCCTCATTTATTTTAATGACTTCAAATTCCTTAAATCGTGACTATTTAGCTATAGTAATATTTATTTAATTCAGAACAAAAGATAATCCTCAATTATAGGTAGGCCAATTAATATGTCTCATTTGACATCTATAAATTTTTTCGTGATGTAAGCTGCTTAAAATATCGATTGAAATTAATGTATCGATACTGAATTCAAACATATTTGAATCGAATTCAGATATGCAATATCGATGTTTTGCGTTCGATTATTTTTCTATCGTGTTTTAAAAAGAAAAAGACTTCACTGACGCATCATTGTAACGACGTTCGATTGGCATGATTACAATCAATATGTATTCGAAATTTAAAAAATGGAAATAAATTGTGCAGTTATAAATTAAAAAAAAATACGCCCGCCGTTACAAGGTTACGTTGTTGGATATGTATGAAGTGTCAAATGTTGGCCTACCTATAGGAAAGGTAAGAAACGCCAAATAAAGAAAGAAAAAAAGATTTTAAAAAGTCATTTCATTTATGTTTATACTTTTAACATGAATTTCGCGCGCATTCTGTTACGTCAAAAAGACGTTAAACATTTTTCTTTATAACCTTTATAAAATATAACCTCAAATTTTTTCTTATATTTACGATAAAGCTTGCAAATACTAATATAGTACTAAAATTTCACTAATAATTACGTAAAATACGATAAAGCTTGCTAATAAACTTTCCTATAATCTTATCAAATCGAGTTTAAAATCAGATTTATTAACATAAATAAAAAAAGATTGAATAAAAGATTCCAGCAGATATCGTTCGTTGAATATTTATGTATTCATTTCTAACAAATTTAATCAAAGATATTTCTATAACTGAAACTAATTTATTCTAATTTAAATTTCAAATATAATTATCAGATTGTTATAAGAATGGGTCACTGCCATTTTATTTGTGATTAAATTATCTGTTACAATTACATCGCTATAAAATTCTTTTCGTGACTTTTAACAATTATTTTTATGCATATTTAAGGAAGAAACATAATTATTACAAGGACTTGGCTCGTTAATTCTAAAGCATAAAATTAAAAAAAAAATCGTAAGCAACTGTCACATACATCGACTCTCCTCTTTAAATGGACTGGCTAAAAGTCGTATAATTTTGTGCCTATTTGATTTTCGCCATTTTGGCGCTGATGGTTGCGGCTTGCAGCGGTGGTGTGGATGAGTACTAATAATATAGAGAGAATTAACTGTCACATAAAATCAACAGGCACGTTCAACTAGGAACGAAGCAAAGGTTGTCAGTTCCAAGCTATAGCCTATCTATATATACAGATTAGTAACCTTCTAGTAAAGTCCCGTCAAAATCGTCACAGCCGTTTGGGAGAATATACGGAATAAATGCGACTTGCCAACAGACAAAATTTATAAAACTGGTTTTCGTTATAAGCAACATAAATAAATTATGCTTACGTAATATGTTTTTTTATCGATTTTACATACATATATTACTATTTTATTAACCGTATAGAATATTAATATTTATCTGAATTCTCATAGTAAGTTTCCGAGACCAATCTCCGTATGAAACATATCGTCATCTCTGTCATTATCTTTGGCAAGACAGAGATAGCTGCATGTTTTAAACGGGATTTTTGGTTTAAAAAAATTAATGTCATTAAAATTACCGTTTCGGTAGGAAATGTTTATTTATGAGACCACGTGCCGAAAAATGATAAAACACATAGAAATTAAGTCTTTTGCATAATATTTAATCAACTAAGTAGCTTTCCACTTTTATATTTCACTAGCTGTCTCCCGCGACTCCATCCGCACGTAATTAACTTAATAAGTAGCCTACATATTCTTGCAGACTATGTTCTACATCTATGCCAAATTTCAGCAAGATCTATGCAGCCTTTCCGTAGATACCTTCAAACAAACATCCATCCAAACATTCGTATTAATAATATAAGCAAGTAGTAAAATGGTACGTTATATTTAAATTATATAAAAACCTTTATGGAATTTAACAAGGTTATGTACCATGTTACGTCCATTGCCGATTAAATTATACATTAAAAATTGTTTTTTTTTTTTTATAACAAGGTGGCAAACGAGCAGCGGGAACACCGAAGTGTTCAACGACGCCCATGGACATCAGCAATACCAGAGGAACCGCAGATGCGTTGCCGGCCTCTGAGGTGGTGATAGGCTCACTTCTTGAAGGACCCTAAGTCGTATTGGTTTGGAAATACCGCCGAGGACAGACCGTTCCATTTATTTCAACATAGTATTTATATACTTAAAGTCTATGTAATAAAAATATCTGTATTACCACAAAAATATAGTAAGACAATGTTAATTAAACACGTGTTTTAACCCTTTGAACGCCGATGAAGATTATTATCATTTTTCAATATCACAAGGTGGCAAACGAGCTAGTCGCCACTTAAAATCGCTGAAATAGCGAAGAAGAAAACTTAATTAGTGTAACCTATATGTTCTTTCAGACTATGTTCTATACTATGCCAAATTAGCTTAGAGGATATATCCACGCGGACGGAGTCGCAGGCGACAGCCTTCTTTTATAAAAATGTTGACGCATATGTAAGCTAAAATATTTTAACGTTGATTTTTTATAGTAAAATCCGAGGTAAAAAGCCTCGCGGGCCTAAACAACGCTTTTTGTTAGCTTATAGATTAAGAAAGATATCGTAGAGTATAGCAATTATTTACACTTAAGTACGTATGATTTATTTTCTAAACCTTTTTAATTTATTGATTTCGTATTACTAAGTAATATTAATTTAAAATTTATGTTATTTATTGCGTATAATTTAATGATCATATCCGTATACCAATCTGTTTTGACATATGTATATGTTTCCATAGAGAATGTTTTAAAAAAAAAATAAACAAATGTTTATCTTTTATTGCCATATACTCCGAAAATGAATAATTTACTAATATATATTATTAAAAGGAGTCCCTTAAGGCAAGGTAACGAAGATACTGGCATTCCCCCTTTGGATAGCTAAACTTCTTTGTCTGAGGTAGCTGCCAGCTCTCGATTACTTTTTTGGAAAGTCTTAAAGCGCTAGGACCCCACGGACCAAGGGTCTCGACGCTGTATGAGACGAAATCATATTCGGAGCTCGTTTTTAATGTTTTATTTAGTACAGGATGTTCTTATTAAATACTTATATAATAAATGAGAATTTTTCAATGTACGGATGGATGGATTTTTCTCCGAAAAAAAAAGGCGAATAAAGTGTCCGACGGATTTATGTTGGGATATATCCCCTCAGTGTTGCTATTTACAATACAACGTTACATTTAGAAAATCGACTCTTGATTAGAGGTCAAACTCATATGACACATTTCATCATCATCAGCTGACTATACGTCCCCACCGAGGGGCTCGGAGCCTACCCTAAGTTGAGGGTGATTAGGCCATAGTCAACCACGCTGGCCAAGTGCGGGTTGGTTGACTTCACACATATCTTTGAATTTCTTTTCAGATATGTGCAGTTTGCATCACGATTTTTTCCTTCACCGTAAGAACGTCGGATAAATGTACATATGTAAATCGAAAATCGAAAAACACATAGGTACATGGCGGGATTCGAAGATGCAGATTGCAAGTCAAGTGCTTGACTTGCAATCTGAGTGAGCCACCGACGCTCATGACACATACATGATACATCTATCTTACTAATATTATAAATGCGAATGTTTAGATGGATGGATGTTAGAAGGTAACTCTAGAACGACTGTATCTAGCAGAAAGGCATAGATGTAGAACATAGTCTGGATGAACACATAGACTACTAAGTGTGTTTATAATTCCGCGCATACGGAGTCGCGGGCTATAGCTTGTAGGTTATATATCTAAATAAAACATATGTTCTATATTACAATTGTTTTCCAGTTTTGCTTAATTTAATCAAGACTGAATAAATCTAGGATTTCCATCTTCGAAGTGTTTCTTTGTACTGTTTTATTACGACATATTAAGTTAAATAAAGGCAAAATAGGTCAAATAATATATAATAAGATACGACATTGAATTAAGATATTTACAAGGGCTTTTAAAATCATGCGTTAATTAATTTGTCGAATTTAAATTGAACAAGGTTTAATAACAACCGCCCGTGACTACGTCTGCGAGGAATTAAAAACTAAATTAGTAGCCTGTGTGTTCCAGATGTTCTACATCTATGTCAAATTTCATTCGAGATACGTACAGCCGAACTGCAGATACCTCTAACAAACATACATCTAAACATTCGCATTTATAATATTAGTAAGAAGTAAGATTTGAATATATTAAACAGAGATAAAAGTAAATATACCTTTCTCTTTCTTTTAAAAATATTTTATAATTTTATGTAATTATATAAATAAATACTCTTTTAAAACAAAAATAATATTTTGGTAATTTAAAAAAAAAACTTGTTTTTTTTTATTAATAAAAATCTTATTTTTTTTTATATCCAAATTATTATGTCAATGCTGCCAATACCTTCCTTATGGACTGATTAAGCTTCAGTATTTAAAAGTCGACTCTAAATTAGTGGTGATAAACTTTAAATTGCCTTATACACATGCCATTAATATTTCGATATACTTTTACAATGAACCTTCATTGAGGTTTTATTGGTTTCTTAACCTTTGTTAATGGAAGAGTTTGTTGCTATACTGTTTTACCATTGATATCTATATTCTGTATCTACATATAAAGTTTAAACTCTTTATAACGTCACTCCTTATAACGCCAAACTCTTTATAACGGTTTGGTTTACCTTGTTTTCTATACATTACATTCCATATAACATACATACACTCCATATAACGCTCACTCTATTTAACGTCGAACATGCGGCATTTATAAACGATTCACTTGTAGCCTTTAAAAAGAAGCCATTTTTTTGGTATAACGTAAACAAGATATGTCAAATTGCTACACACTTGAACAGAAAATATAGTTGTAGCGAAATACGAATATTGACAAAAAATTATTGGAGAAAAGACAAATAATACTATCAACATATTAGTTAAAATAAATCACTATAGAATAGTAAAAGAGCATATCTTTCGTCACTCGATATAACGTCCACTCGATGTACTCGGTCCTATAAGACATTATATAGAGTTTACACTATATATAAAGAGTAAACTGATTTTAATATCTCTCTAGAAATGCTGTATTTCCTATATTTATAAACTAATTCTTATCGAATAAAATGTCGGGCAAACGTCATAATTTATAGCTCATTTAAAAAGTGGATCAAATGACATCATTTCAAACTTGTTCCGTCAGGGAATAACGAATTAAACGTTCTAGAATGTTCAAGAACTTTATATACAAACAACCTTTAATCAATTAGGAATAATAAAAAAAAACCACGAAACCAGAAGCTCTTTAGTGAAAGTCACAGAAAGTCCCAGTAAAAATATAAACATATTAAGAATTATTAAAAGATCAACTTTAAAATCTTACTAATATTATAAATGCGAATGTCTAGATGGATGTTTGTTTGAAAACTCCAGAACGGCTGCATAGATCTCGATGATTTGACATACATATAGAACATAGTCTGGAAGAACACATTGGCCACTAATAATGTTTTTTTTTTAATTCCGAGTCAGCTTTTGTTTTAGAAATACGCGGGCGGGAAATCTAAATTCAATTGTCATAGATTATAAGAAATCGAAGTTTGGAAAATGTCAAATTATGATTTAGAAATTGTAAAAATCCGTTATTTATTAAAGAAATATATATTACGAAATAAAATAATCTATTTATAATAAAATTTATCCGTTAATAATAAATTTATTTAGCTAGTTTTTCTAGAATTATCTTCCATAATGTGATTTGACATTAATAAAAAAAAATAATGATAGATTTAGTTGCGATATTAAATTCCAAGATTTATATTAGCAATTTCAACCAGTTTTATTATCAATATTATATAATATTATAGATATGAACACGATATACTAATAATCCATGTTTTTAAACTCTTTTTACCAATATATAGCTTATTTTTCTTTTAGATTTAAATCACTTTTTGACACAGATTTCTAGAACCTATTGTAAATGATCTCTTGTCATCTTTATAGCATTTCTTATATTATATTTTATGTATTTTAATATTTATTTACACGTTTCTATTCATATTATTATATTATTATTAAACAATTGTCATAAAAATTAACTGTCGTCTGCGACTACGTCCGCGCGGAATTAAAAAAAATAATTTTTAGCCTGTTTTTATCCAGTCTGTGTTCTATATCTATGCCAAATTTCAACGCAATCCATGTAGTCTTTCTGGAGATCCCTTCACACAAATATCCATCCATCTAAACATACGTATTTATAATATTAGTCAGTTAATACAGACGAGAGAGAAAGACACAATATGAGAAATAAAGTAATAAATTAATCCAAGGTTAGTAAAGATATTAATTTCACACGTTAAATAACAAACAAATAAATATATTGCAACGCCATTTCGTAGTTATGCCGATAAAAAAAAATTAAACTCACTTTCTCGAACATTTATCATAGACTTTGCAATTTTAGTGTTGGACACACAATAAAAAATCGTCAAATATTATAACACGGCACAATTTAAGTTCATATTACGTATCCTTTCACGATACGTCAGCGCAGGAGCAAAGTAAACACGACAATAATATTGTAAATTACATATAGAGAGCGCCCCGAGTGGTCAGATACTATGGAGTTGCCAGCTTATAAAATTCTGCACATTTGACGGGAGTTATTAATTACTAATAACACAGCTTATTGCGATTAGTATCAAAGTTTTATATTCATGTTGTTAATATTTAGGTACAGGTTATTTTTTGCAAATGTCAAGTGTTAATCAAAATTCAAAAAAAAGTGTTGTAGAATTTTTTAGTTTTATTATTGTTGCTAATTTTATTGATATTATGAAAGTCGTATAAGATTAAGCATAACTACATATATATATATATATATATATATATATATATATATTTGATATAAGGAACAATTAAACGTAATCAAAATATAAAATGTTGTAGTATTTTTGGTTAATTTTTTTAACATTGCAACACCCTCTACCGGTTGTGAGATAATATACGTGAGAACGTAAAATAATGTAGAAATTGATTTTATTAATAGATTATTTCTAATCCATTGGATTAACCGATGATGTTTTATTACTGTCTACATAACTAAGGGTTAACATACACGGACTGTTCGAGAACTTTACAGGAGAACAAAACATAGTAGCCTATGTGTTCTTTCAGATTACGTTCTATGTGTATACCAAATTTCATCGAGATCTGTTCAGCCGTTCTGGAGATAAATTCAAACATCCATCTAAACATTCGTATTATATCAGAATGCACTTTATGAAAATAAGCAAATGAAAAATGATTTCAGCTTCACACATCTCCATGATGTATATTCCAGAAGGCCTGTGATTCTACAATGTTATATAAAAGACTAGCTGTTCAACAGCATATTCTTTTTCTATATTAACCGCCAAAACAAATTGTTTATGACGGTGTTGTCAAAAATATTATAAGTTAAAGGGGGCAAACTTGCGGCCACCTAATGTTAAGTGATCGCTGTTGTATACTATACGCGAGATCTTTTCCCAACTTGAAAAGTAAAACGTTATCGTGTTTGAAGATACTACTGGTGCCATCTATACGTAAGTTTCGAAATTATTTTTGAATCAAAACGAGGGTAGCAATTATGCAATTAGGCATAATGTTAATATCAATAATGTATGAAATAAAGTAAATTTATTTAGGTTTTAACATAGGCGCAAATCATGTAATTGTGTGTATGACATGATCAATAAAGTCTAAGATGTCTTTTTATAATAACGCCATCTATAGGTACAAATACGCATTTCGATAAATAATCCAAATTTTACTTGAATGAAGTAAATAATTCAATGGCGAATGATATATTTAGAGCAATGATTTAAAATTACTTAATAATTTTTTACTATTAATTTTATAGACTAGGATTGTAAATTCTGTCTCACACAGAACCTGTATTTTTATTGCCACAGGTTGTGAAACCGCACTTTGCTATTATCTTATAACAGGCGCTTAAATATTTATGCCTTTAGATAAAGTAACGTAACAATAAAAATGAATAGCTTAATGCGGTATTTACAACATTCTAGTACACTAAGACAGTAGAGCTGTCCTGGCTTTAACTGGTTTTGGCTCACTGGCGCCAGTTAGTGTACTTTTTACCAGCTGTAAGCAAAAAATAAAGTGTAAATTTAACCTTATTTCCATTTTTACAAACGGCAAGACATTGTAGATAAGGAAGTTGTTAAATTCCCTAATATCTGATTCACATGTGGTTCATGTTTCAATATAATTTGTATTTTTATAATGCATTTCGTAGTAATTTAGCGAAGATTTACGACGAGTGAATAAAACTGAGATACGCAAAAGAACTACGCAATATATTAACTGAAACTCGTTGATTAAAATAAACTGAGATAAAGATAGTGTAGCAATAAAAATCTTAGTTTATGCGAACAGTTCGATCACCTTTGCTAATTTCAGATTTGTTTGTTTTAACTAAATTTTACTAGCACATTACTGTCATGAGTTTTCAAACTTCCCTTTCCGGTGTATACAATTAATAAACATTAAATATAAAACATTTACTGTAGTGTATTTGATTAACTAAAGAAAGTAAAAAGAGATGTCATAGGCTGGTAACAATCTAGAATTATTAGAAAAACTACCTGTCACCGCGACACTGTCCGCGCGCAATTAAAAAGGCAAAGCTTTAAAAGTCTATGTGTTCTTCCAGACTATGTTCTACATCTATGCAAAATTTCATCAAGATCTGTTCAGCCGTTCCAGAGATACCTTTGAACAAACATCCATCTAAACATTCGCATTTATAATATTAGTAAGATAAAACAAAAGACACAAAACGACAGAACACCAAAAATAGTTAAATAAATCTACGCAGTAAGGTTTTATACATTTAAAATAAAACCTTTTCAACGATTTAACACTTTTGATACGTCGTCGTGACCAAATGTGCATCTTAAATCCTTAAATACGTGTCTAATTCCCGCTCAGCCGGACGATGTGGCGGCCATTATGGGGTCATTGACATTTTTGGCTTCGCGCCAGATTAACTACGTTAGAATTAGATTCCTTGTCTTAATTGTTACTTTGTTATCCTTTTCGGGATTTTAGTCTACGGTTTTCTTATTAATCGTATCTTTACAATTCAAAAAGGAAAAGGTTCTCAATTCGTTTATATATTTTTAGTCTGTTGAACTTTGAAAAAATATTCTTTGTTATAATTTATTGATTGTTCTAATAAAAAGGAACGGTTTGTTTGATTTAAGACAAAAGGCTAAGTTACTATAATTATGTTTAGTGCATTCCATTCAAAAAAGTGTGCACCACTAGGTCTTCATTGTTTAAGTTCTTGAAGGGTCCTCATTGTTGTTAATTACTTGCTAATTCTGTCGAACAATGGACATTATCTACCTTCATTTTACAGTCAATTTAATGTAACCTTACGTCTGGGTTGTCTGCTAAAGTTCTGACATGTATTTTAAATATAAAACTTTGGTTTTTCCTCTACTTCTACAACTTCTACAACTTCCCAGAATTTTTTTATATCATAAGGTGGCAAACATGCAAGCAGTCACGGAGGATATGTTAAAATATATGTAAGAAAAACATTTTTTACTTAAAAGACTAAATATCTAACTTCTTACTAATATCATAAATGCGTATGTTTAGATGTATAGATGGATGGATGAATGTTTATTTGAAGATATCTCCGGAACGGCTAAACAGATCTAGCTGAAATTTGACATAGATGTAGAATAAAGTCTAGAAGAACACATAGGCTACTTGTTATCTTTTTTTAATCCCGCGCGGACGGAGTCGCGGGCGACAGCTAGTTGAATAGGGCGCTGTTTGGTGTAAAGTGACACACGCCAGATGGCGTGCAGACAGAAGTAGTACATTCTCGCGTTACTTCCTGTTACAAAGAATCGATACAGGAGCACATAATAAAAAATATATGAGTCAGATGATGACCAAGGAATTGTAACAGTCTAGAGCCAATGTTAGTGTTAGTGTTGGATTCACTGCACAAAAACATTGAAATACGTCTATTGCTTTTTAAAAACAAAAAATAGTCTTGACAGACAGACGGACAGACAACAAAGTGATCCTATTAGGGTTCCGTTTTTTCCTTTAAGGTACGGAACCCAAAAAAAAGCAAGTTCTTATAATCTGTTTTAGGTTGGCAGTCGAAACAAAGGCAGGGGGACGAAGGATTTGATGCATAGGAATGGGAATATTGTCGTTCTGAGCGTCCTCTCCTCCGTTAATGAGAGATAGGCAAATATGGATCTTAATCTGCAATTGCAAATGTCTATGGGCAGACGTTTCGCTATTTCAGCGAATTAAATGACCGCTCCTTTGCCAACTTCTAATATAAAAAGATCTATATAGATAACACAAAAATTACTTATTAATATTTCATTAAAAATTTGACTTTAAATTTGACCTTGATCGTCTTTTGACATCGTTCTTGAGTAGACATTCGTCTAAATTGCAGATTATAAATATATTTATGTATACTTGTTTCTATATATATATATATATACATCGTGATGCAACCTGCACATATCTGAGAAGTAATTCAAAGATACGTGTGAAGTCAACCAACGCGCACTTGGCCAGCGTGGTTGACTATGGCCTAGTCACCCTAAACTTAGGGTAGGCTCCGAGCCCCTCAGTGGGGACGTGTAGTGAGCTGATGATGATGATGATGATGATGATACTTGTTTCTGCACTGAAAGTCCCGTTTACATAATGTTTTTATTAATGGATTAGATTTGTAAATATTAGTTATTTTTTATTTTCAGAATTACTTTAAGTAATGTAGACATTCTGATTATTCATAGTGTTTACTCATTCCAGTCGATTCCTCGAACAATTTCAGTAAACTCTAATCACAATTATCCTACGATAGCATTTTATCGTATTTCATCAGTTACACGAAACTGTATGATTGGTCTATTAAAATGACTCATTGTTTCATTCATTCGTTCATTCATTTAAGTACTGAAAGATTGAGTACAATTCTGTACTTATTTTATGAATTTCTACCACGGTTTTTTTTTTAATTTTACAGTTTGACTTTTAAATTTTTAATTAATCAGAATTTATGGCTTCGTTTTCATGATTCGAATTTGGATATCGATTTCTATAAAAATGCTATGTAAACTAATTCGATTTTTTTTTTAAAAACGTGTAATTTTAATTATTGTTGGTACTCCTTGAATTTATGGTAATACGTCGCGTGGACTTTCTATGAATCATCTTCTGTTATACCAGCCCTATGTTACCAAATGTTGATGTTAAAAATTGGTAAGTTTTAGTAATAAATTAAGTATATTATAAAGCTTAAAAAATTATAAAATTACTTGTGTAAGATTGAATTCGATTGATTAAAAGATATAAGAAATTATTGTTAATAAATCTACTGCTTGTTAAAAATATTTTTCCAAGTCAAAGTAATTTTATTGAACGGGAAAATCGGTAAATCCTAATTTAAAATACTCATTTCGACCATTAAAAATCATTACATTTTTTAAATACTTTACATAAAAGTTACCAATTTGGTAGTAATTTTT